AGCAAAAAAGATAAGCCTCCGGGAGTGCAGAACCCGTTTGCAGCTAGCTTCTGGTACAGCGATAACAGCTGGAGGAGCCGTGAGGCTGCAGATTCGGTTTAATGGAAAGAAGCGACGTCAGCGATTTCTTTATATGCCAGGACTTGTGGTACCTGTGATCTTGGGCCGAGATTTCATTACAGGCGAAAGCATGACACTCGACTTTTCTGGTGGTGGATACCGGCTGGGACAACAACCGGAGCTGACTCCGTTTGCCAAAAGGGAGGACTGCATCCCTAACTCGACCACTGCAGCCCACTTCACCACGGTGCCAGACGTCTTGCCTGCCGGCGTTCGAGAATCGTTGCGAAAGTGCCCCGCAAGCAGCCAGCAGAAGCAGGAGCTGCAAGCCGTCCTGGAGTCTTTCTCACCGATGTTCACGGAAACACCTGGAAAGACTGGCATTCTGCTGCACCTTATTGAAACCGGTGACGCGCCGCCTCGGAGGTGCAACCCTCGACCGATCAGCGTCCACAAAAGGGCACTCCTTGATGCGGCGCTCGAGGAAATGATCGACATCGGTTCAGTACGTGAGTCGAAGAGCCCCTGGGCATTCCCCGTTGTTCTCGCCCCGAAAAAAGACGGAACAGCCAGACTCTGTGTGGATTACAGGCGGCTTAACGATGTGTCTGTACGAGACAGCTACCCTTTCCCCAGCATTTCCTCCGTGATGTACGCGCTCGGTAACGCGACCGTGTTTACAACGCTGGATTGCAGTCGCGGGTTCCTTCAGATCGAGATTCACCCATCAGACGTTCCAAAAACGGCTTTCATCTGCCACAGAGGGTTGTTCGAGTTCACCCGACTGCCGTTTGGCTTGTCTAACTCACCAGCCAGTTTTCAACGCCTGATGGATGTTGTACTTGGGAACTCGAAGTACGAATTTGCCATGGCATACATGGATGACGTGGTTGTTTTCTCGAGAACTATCGAAGAGCATGTCGAGCACCTTCGCATTGTACTTGAGCGAATGCGTAATGCTGGGCTCACGATTCATCCCGGAAAGGTTCAGTTAGCCGCGCCCAAGATTAACCTCCTTGGATTCGTTGTGGATAACGGCACGCTCCGCCCCAACGAAGATAAGTTGCGCGCGCTAACGGAATACCCAAGCCCACATGACGTAAAGAGCCTAGAAAGATACCTCGGAATGATTGCGTTCTACAGGGATTTCATTCCACACTGTTCCGAGATATCGCAACCGCTCAATCACCTTCTAAAAAAAGGCGTCAAGTGGTGTTGGGCCGAACAACAATGCGCATTCGCAGCCCTTTCAAGAGCCGTGACTGACAACGCTTGTTTACAGCTCCCAGACTTGAACAAGCCGTTCGTTCTGCAGACAGATGCAAGCGACTGTGGCCTGGGTGCTGTCTTGCTGCAGGAGTATGGCGGTGTGCTTCGGCCAGTTGCTTTCACGAGCCACACGCTAACTCCAGCCGAGCGCAACTACAGTGTCGCAGAACGTGAATGTCTCGCCATTATTCATGCTTTGAAGCGCTTCGATATGTACCTAGATGGCGCAACGTTCCAGATTCAATCTGATCACTTAGCGCTATTATGGCTAAGGGGGCTTAAGAATCCAGCTGGACGTCTTGCTCGTTGGGCGCTTACGCTACAACAGTACGACTACTCCATTGTGTACCGCCCGGGGTCAACTAACAAAGTTGCTGATGCGCTTTCTCGTGCTCCACTTCCCGAGGAACACTCGCAGGATACCCATGGCTTGGTGACCGTCGCGGCCACGACACGAGGATCCCCATATTCACGGTGGGGTACATTGGTGAGCCGCGAGGAGCTTCGCAAGGCGCAGCTGGATGACGGGCTCTGCCAACGCGTGTCCGCTTGGCTGGCAGCAAGAGGTCCAGTCGACCGCCCAAGTGACGAGGAGTTCGACTCCTACTTAATGAGCGACGACGGCCTCATGCTGCGCTATATCCCCCAGGCCGACGACGATCCGGATGGCTCGGCATTCCGGACCGTGATACCCCGCAAGCTACGTAAGCTTTTCATCCGATACATGCATGACTCTGCCTTGGCAGGGCACAGCAGTGGGAGCAAGACTTACGAAAAGTTATCCCAAATTGCTACCTGGCCAGGCATGAGGCAGGATGTGCTCCGATACGCTCGTAGCTGCTCGGTGTGCCGGAAGGCAAAAACCACGTGGTGGCCAGCCCCCCGGTCTCATGCAACCAATCGCGAGTGAGAGCCCTTGGCAGATTTGTTGCTGTGACGTCATGGGCCCCTTCCCACGTAGTACCCGGGGTAGTCAGTACTTATTCGTGGTAACCGACCACTTCACGAAGTGGGTCGAGTTATTCCCTTTGCGGAAGCTAGATTCGCAAAAAATCTGGGAGTGTCTACTCGAAACATTCGCTAGGTTTGGCTTTCCTGCACAGCTTGTAAGCGATAATGCCTCCTATCTCACGAGTAAGGTGTTTGTGGACGCATGCGCGGTACTGGGAATCAAGCACAAAAGAACTTCCCCGTACCACCCGCAAGCAAACATCACGGAAAGGGTAAATCGAAACCTTAAGATGATGCTAGTGGCCTACACCGAGCGCCACAAGGACTGGGACGCGAAACTGCCCGAGCTGGCATTCGCAACCCGTACAACCACTAATCGGTCAGCGGGTCTCACTCCTGCCCAATTAAATTTCGGCAAGGAGCTCGCATTCCCGCTTTCTAACAGCCTCCTTTCTACAGAGTCTGGAGGAAGGCCTCGCCCCTACGTGAAGTTCGCAGAGGACCTGCGAAAGCGTTTCTCCGATAACCTTCGAGAGGCCAGAGAAAATCTAGACGTCGCCCGGGTACAGCAGGCTGAACAGTACAACCGGGGGCGACGTGACTTGCAGTTTGAGGTGGGAGATATTGTGCTCCGGCGTACTCACCCACTGAGTGACGCCGCTCGAGGCTTCGCAGCCTCCCTCGCCAGCAGGTGGGAAGGTCCGTTTCGCGTGCGTGAGTTTCGCTCCGTGTTATTCCTCCGGGTCGGGTATGCAGCAAGGCAAACCGACCACAATCTATAAAAATGATTAAGGACAACATTAATATTCTTAGTAAACATCTCGAAAAAATATTCAACCATGCGTTTTATAGTGGGACTCCTGAAAATAGCAAGAGTCATACCTATATATACAAGGATGGGGACGTAAATGAACTATCAAAATATCGACCAATTTCAGTACTAAACACTATCAATACCATTTTCGAAAAGCTAATAGCAGCTAGAATGGTTGATTTCTTGACTCGAAATAAAATTATAACAGAAGAACAGCACGGATTCCAAAAAGATAGATCTACTAGTACTGCGGTCTTAAATGTAAGTTAATTTATTAACACAGCTTTAAATAAGAATCCAATAGTAGTTGGCATTTTTTTAGATATAAAAAAGGCCTTTGACACGGTTAATCACGAAAAACTAATTACTAAATTGAAAAAAATATGGTTTCCGCGTTCTTTTTTTTTTAACTTTTTCAAGAGTTATTTATCGTCGCGCTCGCAACAAGTCAACATCGGGGATCAATACTCTACCAATAAGATGGTGCTCACAGGAGTACCACAAGGATCTGTACTGGGGCCGATTCTTTTCTCTCTATATATATAAATGACTTACCTGAAGCAGTTGGAAAATTAAACGTAACAATGTATGCGGACGATACAGTATTTCTGGCATCTGGTAACTCCTGGGGTAAACTGGATGGGAAGATTAATCAAAACCTTAAACAGATGGAGAGTTGGTTTTTGAATAATAAGTTTACTTTAAACTACCAAAAAAACAAATTATATAGTGTTTGCTTCCCCACATAAGGTCACTCCAACAGAGGCGCAAAATATACAAATGGGTAATAAGTCCATTCAAAAGGTAGAACATATTAAATATCTAGGAGTCATTCTTGACTCTTGCTTCAACTGGAAACCGCACATCGAAACATTATGTAAAAACTGGGCTATTCGGTTTACACGTTACTTAAAGCCAGACAATACTTTAATTCTAAAACTTTAAGATTGATTTATTTGAGTATTTTTCATAGTCGCTTACAATATTGTGTAGTATCGTGGGGTTTTACATACCAAAGCTGTATACAACCGATAGTAAGGCTTCAAAAGCGGGCTTTGAGAATACTAGAATATGCAAGTTACAACGCCCATTCAGCTCCCTTATTTCAAGAACAACAAATAATGCCATTTCTTCTTTTAAGTGACTATAGAACTGTAATTCTGGTGCATAATATTGTATTAAATAATATACCACTCCCATCACGTATATTTGTACAATCAGGTAGAGTCACGAGGAATGTTGTTATAGATAACTTCAATACTCCGCCCTATAGCAATACTTATGGTCAACGTCTAATACAGTATGTAGGTACAAAACTTTGGAACTCATTAAGCACAAATAAAAGGAAGTAAAACATTTTCACTGACTGGAAAAAGCATTATTTGGAAATGTTGTAAAACATGCATTTTTATTTTGTGAGGCACATCACGAGTGCCAGGATCGAACCGCATGCCTTATATTGGAACATTTGTATGGATCCAGAACTAGCCTTGCTGGCTAAGAATCCAGATGCGATATGCAGTGATTTCGATGTATACAAAATATGAATAAAGATTATTATTATTAATATTATTTATTAGGTTTTTTTTTCAAAAAGCCCTGTGTCCTGCCTATGGACCATCATGCCCAAAATTGAATACTACATCATTATCACTGATCTATTACTTAATATACCCTCAGGGCCTAAGTCATGAGAGAGAGGAGTGGTTATAAACTATAGCGATTAAAAAACAAAGTGTTGCTATTATTACTACAGTACACTTGCTTGGAGCAAACCCCGATACCAACTGTATTTAAGAAATGACCAGAACGTAATGCCATTCTTATTCGCAGACAAACCCAGTATTCTGCATCTTCTTTTCTTTTGCTGTTTTTATGAACCATAAGCTTTTTGTTTGTTTTTTAGCTGGATTCAAAAAGTTAATATGGTTTACAAACGATATCAAGAACACAAATTGCAATTGTTTTAGTATAATTTCTGAAACAGAAGAACAGCAGAAAAAACAAAGTTGGGGGAAGAGTACTGCCAACCTTTTGCGTGTTTTGTAGGCATATCTTGTGAGAATCTACCGTAAGATTCTGTTTGCATTTCAGTGGAAACGTTTGGCGCCCGAAATAAATTTTCCTCGGTTATAATATTTTGCCTTTCGCGTATTGATAAAAGAACCCCCCCCCCCCCCCCCCCCCCCAAGCGGATCTTCACTCGGTTCGAAACAGGCTTGTACATGTTACTCAAAAAAGTCATCAATTGCCATAGCAATTGCTCTTGGTTAAAGTTATTCGATCATATCACATGATCACATGAAAGGAACAGTAATTTACCGTTGCTTAAAAAGGTAAATTTCCAACCGCGCGTTACAAGACGCTCGCATTCGCTTTCATTGAAAGAATATTCCTGCCATAACGACGTTTTCGCGCAATCATACTTTCCGAGGTCAATTCGTGAATGGAACTGCCTCGGCCCAGAAGTTGTAGGCAGTGATTCTCTGGGGACCTTCCTATCACAACTTGATAAAGCAGACTAAGAATAAAAGATAAGCATCACATTTATCTCCCCGAGCTTACAATAAAGCAAATAAGGTTTTTGAAGTGTTTTGTGTTGATGACGATCGCATGCTTACTTTCTTTCCTTTCCCTTTTTGGCCATTGATAGGCGGTCATGTCACTAAGGGCACGGATGAATATGGCTTTTATACCTGTTTGTTTTTCCTTTTGTTAGTGTGATAGAAATCTATATTTTCAACTACTGAATGGCGTTTTGAAATTTTTTCTCTAAGTGTATCGCAATGACTTGTGCGAAACGGCCTGGTGATCGGGACATAGTTTGCAGCGTGCCTCTGTATTGTCATGTACTTTTTCGTGAATATTGGTGTATTCTGTTGTACCACAGTGGTCCACCCTGCTAAAACCTCAATGAGGTTGCATTATTGAATAAATAAATAAATAAATAAATAAATAAATAAATAAATAAAGAAATAAATAAATAATCGGTTACTTCGGCAACTTAGTGTCATTTCATTTGGAACATCGCAGAACAGGGTTCAAGCAAAGCTTGCAACATTGAGAACACAAAGATTCTTTACAATTTTTCTATCGGTTTGAAAACAAACCATTTGCACCGTCCATTTGTGAATCAGAATAACCAGATCACAAACTATTAATATTCTCAATTACTGTGGAACGCAAACCACTTATCATGGACGACCCGAAGAGCTCAATTGTTTGGCACAGCTTACGTTGCACATTATCTGGTTTTGGTTGCCTTGCGTGCACCACAGTGTAAAGGTGTTCTGCACCTGTTATACGTTCCTCTGAGGAGACAGGGGTAAACTTTCTAAGTGGTTAATAGAAACGCAGATGCTACATTAACCATCAAACCTTAGACTGAAAGGCTTTTGTACAGATCTCAGACTTTAGACAACACAGTTCGAAACGAACAAACACCTACGTATACTGTCCAGACAAAGAGACTGACTTCCTTTCGTACAACTCGGTAACAATAGATTTTTTTCTCACAAACATTTATGTTTTGTCTTATCCTACAATGGACTAAATCCCACTGCTACAGGCCGCCACGTCCAATTAAGAGCCTGTTAGAAACCACGTGATATATTTGCTCCGTCGTACTTATCAGTGCGCCAAGCACGTCACGCAGAGGCGAGTTTTTCGCACCATATCGCAGCAGGTTTAGCTCGTAGTCTGTTGATTAAGTATAGTTGTAAGCCCGGAAACCAAGGAGTAAGGAGGTGAAAAGAGTAACGCTCAGAAATGATTATATCCCTATTGAAAATTCTCATTCGTATGAGAAATTTCTGTGTCCAATAAACACATATGAATCATACAAGATATATAAGAACATATAAGAACCGTATGAGAACCATATAAGAGCTTTATAAGAACTATATAAGCTATATGAGAACATACAAGCACCATATAGGAAACTAGTGGGGAGTTTCTTATAAGTTTCTTATGGTGTTCTTATATATCTTATATAAGTCTTATATAGTTCTCATATAATTCTTATATGGTTCTTATATGTCCTTATTTGTTTTTAGATATCTTGTATGATTCATATGTGTTTATTGGACATAAGAAATTTCTCATACAAATGATTTTTTTTTACTAGGGATTATACTTTAAAAAATAAGAATAATTTATCTCGTGAATAATAACAGCAGTAATCATAATTAGGTAAGCCGTCTTAAGTTTCCTCGTTCAATTTTTTGTTAATTTCCTGGTTCTCGCCACTCTGATAGTGCTGAAAGCAACGTTGGAGCTGGTGGTGTTGAAACGTTACGCATTGTTTTATTTTCTGCACTTTCACTAGCCTCATGGCAGAATACCATGAACTTATATTGCCTGCTGAAGTGAAGCTATATGCAGGAATTAAAAAAAAATGAAATGCTTTTACAATTCTCTGTAATGCCGAACTACGGCGCAGCTCTTGAGGGGGAGGAGGGAAGGGTGTGGAGAAAAGGTTTGGGTAAGGAAGGGAATTTACTGCAAAATTGTGGGACAATTTCCCGGTAAATTAGCCCGCTAAATTGTGCGGATTTTCCCGCTCGATTTGGCGGAAAAGGTTTCCCGCTAAGTTTAGCGGGAACATTTCCTCACTAAATTTAGCGGAAAAAATTGACCGCTAAATTCGGTGGGGAAAGTTCCCCGCTAAATTTAGGAGAAAAAACTGGCGGAATATTGTCCCCACAGAAAAAACTTGCCTGCTAAATTTTGCTGAAAATTTTCCGCCAAACTTCCGCCAACACAACCATTTGATGCTTGTGTTGTGGTAATTACTTCGTGGTTTTCTTTATTAAAACAGATACTGAGTTGTGTGCTGTATCCCTGACGTCAAAGGAGATATGCTGTTTTGCCTTCAATTGTTCGTTGGGAGTTTTTTGCTTACAACGCTAATGACACAAACATTTCGTTGGCCGGTAGAGGTATACAGCTTCGCTGTAAAAGTATCACTTATATTAGTCCTACGGATATAAGCAGTGAAGTTCCCAAGAAGCACCCTATGACTGCTTAGCAGTCGATAATTGAAATGTTTTATCGCAACAAACAGACAAAGAGTCATTTCACTAACCTGCCCTCTAGCGCGCGGAATGAGCATGCTTCCTCGTTTATCTCGCACAACGTAAGAGCCACACGTTTCCTACACTCGATAGACGAATCGGGAGTTCTCCGTGTATTTATGGGATTGAATAAGAGCAAACGCCATGACATCGACCAAATACAAGTAAAGCCCGCTATATTCGTAATCGATGTGGTGGCCCCACTTTTTGTATATACAGGGTGTTTTCTTTTTTTAGCTGCACCAAATTTTCGAAAAGAAAATAACGTGAGATAGAGTAATTTGAGCCCTGGGGAAGTGTTAGTGGCCATGGCGGCGCCTCTAGAAAAAAGGTGAAATTAAGTAATTAGTTTGCTAATTCAGTAAAATATTTCAACTAACATTTAATTTGTCACTTGAGGGCACTTAATGCATTTACAGGATTGAAGATCGGCCACAGTATGGTCTAGCCGTGTCGACCATTTTGGATTAAGAAAATTCCTAGTAGGCGCTTCGGGGTCGAGAAATGTCACTTTGGTAAATGGTGTCAAACCGAAACTAAACATGAAAGAGTGCGGGTAATGTTATCGCTCCGCCCTTCCGGGCATGGGATTCGTCGTTATCACGGCCGGTTCCACTTGCTTAGGCGAGCCGGCCGCGATAATGACGAATCGCCTGCCCGAAAGGGCGGAGCGATAACCTTACCCGCACTCTTTCCTGTTTAGTTTCGGTTTGACACCATTCACCAAAGTGACATTTCTCGGCCCCGTAGCGCCTACTAGGAATTGTTTTATTCATATTTGACGAAACGGATACACCATACTGTGGCCGATCTTCAATCGTCTAAATACGTTATGTGCCCTCAAGTGAAAAATTTAAAAGTTAGTTAAAATATTTTAGTTAATTAGCAAACTAATTACCTAATTTCACCTTTTTTCTAGAGGCCGCCAAGGCCACTAACACTATTCCAGGGCTCAAATTACTCTATCTCACGTTACCTTTTTTTTTTGAAAATTTGGTGCAGCTAAAAAAAATTACACCGTGTATATATATTTCACTTAGCACTTTCGAGTGCCAAATTTCTATACACCAACTCAACTCTCCTACGTCACGCCGCGGTGGTGGCGCGCCGGACGCACTTCCGGTCTAGGGCGGTGGGCAGAAGTCGCCGTGCCAGACATGCATTCCTGTGTTCCTTTGGAAGAAACGAGACAAAAAACCTGCCTTTTTGTAAAAATACTGCGACGGGGGCTGTACCAAGAGAGTGTGGAAAGGTTTGAAGATCAGTTTTCATGTGTTTTTGCCCCCTCCGTTCGTCCAAGAACGTGGATAGTAGCCGTGAAAAGGGCAAACCAGACGCTGTCGAACTACGATTGCGTGTGCGGGCAACACTTTGTGGTCGCCAGATGTATTTGCTTTGTTCCAACATGAACGAGAGAAAACCGCCAAGTTGTCCGAACCACCCGCGGGTTCAGTGCGTCTTCAAATTCACACGGCCGCCTGATCGTTCGAACTCTCGTCTGCTCTTTCAAACTTGTCTGCTTTTTGTCGTCTGCTCGTTCAAACAAAAGCGGCCCGTAGAACAAACTTTGACCCGGTGATTGCAATAAGAAGTAATTGCAGGCCTCAAAAGACTTGAGTAGGCTCGGTGTAAACAGTAGATTCAAGATGTTGATCATTGGTACCGGTGGCCATCACCGACTTGTTACGCTTGGTCTGTTCCCGCTTCCGATTTTCAGTATCGACGTCGATCGTCGACCTACGTTCTACACTTTTGCAGCACGAACGACGTCGCTACCTAAAATAGCTAGAAGAATCTCATCATGGTTTTGGCGTCCATTCTGCGGCGTTCATGCGAATGAATCGCTGCACGTCAAATTATTTACGGAATGTTTAGCGGCGTAACGAGCCTTGATA